ACCATATTGCACCAGGCCTTCCTGTCCTTCACTGCCTCCCTGAGTTTGCTCAGTACTAGAGAATAATTTCTTACTAGAGACTAATTGATAAGGCCTACTTCTGAGAATTCATGAATACAGCTATGCTGTATGAGAATGGTGTTTAAGCAAACATACTGTACATATCTGTAACATGATGGTTCTCTTTTTATCTTCTAAGGACTTCCAATAGTTTCAGAGTGTTAAATATTTTGAAAAAAAGAAATAAGGTTTGAAATAAGGTATTTATTACAATAAAAATGTTTCTGTCATTTTACAGTGTGGTATAATTTCACAGATTATGGATCTATAAATGGAAGACAGAATGGAAAAGTATAACAAGAAATTAGGATACTCATATGTATTTTCTGTAATTTTTTAAAATAGTAGGCAAAAAGAAGCCAAATTTACAAGCCTATCTAATGTGTTGCCTTTTCCATGCAAATTCCTTTCATTTATGTTAATTTTGTGTAATTTCCACTAGAATTTTTGTTAAAGTGATTGGTCTGGCTGTCAATCTTCCATACATTTCCTCAGTGTAAGCTCTTCATAGCCCTTTCAGGCAGCCATTAGAAGTGTATATTGTTTTTGGATGAGTTATTTTGCTGATTTTTTAGCAGAAACAAATGCTAATGGATTCTATCAACAGTGCTCATTTTTTGTGGACTACAGCATTTTGCATAAAAAGTAAACTGTCATAATTTCCCTAGTGGCCATAGATGCTATATACAGAGGACATTCCTCCATCTCATGAAGGGTTGCCAGATTAAAAAACTGTATTTAAATATATCCTCCGCTTAAAAGACTCTCTCATCCAAATCCAATTCAGAAATTAGAAAAGAAAAAAAAAACTTGAAATTGACCAGTATCAGTGAATACCTGAACAGCTGACTAAACTAGTATACAGATCAAGCCATTGCCATTCCCCATGTTAGTAAAATATTTTAGTAAAATATAATTATTTCTAAATATGGATCTATACATTAGCAAAAGTAAAATTGATGAAACGTTTTTCTTTAATGGCAAGCCTATAAGTTGTATTCCAGAAATAAATGAATTGCTGTATTAAGTTAGCTAAAACTTAGGACCAGAACCTTGAATAGGTATTGTCATTATTAAATATCCAATAATGAAAAAGAACTTTCTAGTAATCATTTCTCTGGATTCCTTTTAATTCTCTAGTGCTCAAATATCCAGCTGTTTACATTTTTCCTTAAGCATTTATCTTGCAATTTTGGGGGGCGGGGGGGCGGGGCATAATTCTAAATATCCTTCTGAACAAGTCTCATTGAAATCTCTGTAACTTCCAAGATCTTGTTTAGGTTCAGCCCTATAAATCATTCTTGGTGAATATTTATATAGCTTAATGATGATAATGATCAAAGAAATTGTTCAAAAACAATGATTATAACAGATGGAGAAATGATCTGAGTGGCACTGTATTAATGTGATCTGCAGAATATCCTTTATGTAAGATAATAAAAACTGGATTAAAAAGTGACACAGACAAGAGAAACAGATGACTTACAAAACTTTTGCAAAGACATAAAAAGTTATTTCCATTACATGGAAAGGAAGAAAGAAAAGGGTCATTTACAGCTTTGATTATTTAATTTGCAGCTACTTATGTCCTTCAAAGCCAAGCCATGGGGATGGGCAATGAATTAATCAGCACTGTAACAGGATGTGAAGGCATCTGTTATGATATCACCAATTGTATATATAGTCATTATGATGACATTTGATATGACAGGTTTTTGTCCTGTGACAGTATTTCAAGACTAATAGTGAATGTATGTGTTTATTTGCTGCATTTATTACTGTTCGTAAATAACCCTTAATTTTAAAGCAAAATTTATAAAAGCCCACTCAATTCAATAAAATATATTTCTTTTCAAAGAAAGGCCTAATAGTGTCTTAGCCTATCAGGTTGACAAGATAGGACCCACAACCAGATCAGCTAATTCTACTTTATTGTAAGGTTACATTAACAGAATCTTGCAAGTCTGAAAGTACAATTCTTCTCCCATCTCTTTTACCCCAGAGAAATTAGGGAGGGTCTCTTCTGAGCCTCTTGCCCCACCCATTATCCAGATGTGGACTATGCTATCTCTTATCTGACCATTCCTTAGGCAGCATCTTCGGGCCAGTCTCCCCAGGTCATTCCCTCATACCATTACACATAGGAAGATGTGCACATCACTTTTTCATTTGGTTACTGACCTTTGGATAGAAGCAAAGTATTAGTAATAGTAGTAGGTAGTGGTGGTAAGGAGGAAGACAATAAATACAGAGATAGTGATGAATCTCCAGTGATATCCAGAGCTATAGTGAGCTACAGAGATGACCTTGGAGAAACAGTTACAAAAACATGATTTAAGCCCAGGAAAGGAGGAAAGCATGAAAAAGAAGCTCAAACTGGCTCCGCCTTAACTACCCGAGGTATAAGAGGGAGGAAAAGAAAAACACACTCAGGTTTTAAAAATTCTGTTACCATAGCTTACATCAGTATTTCTCATCCTTGGCAACTTGAAGATGTGTGGACTTCAACTCTCAGAATTCATGCTGGCTGGGGAATTCTGGGAGTTGAAGTCCACACATCTTCAAGCTGCCAAGGTTGAGAAACACTGGCTTTCATCACCACAGCTCCAAAGTCAAAGTTGTGAGTTGGTTTCCTGACCTGGTTCCTGACCTGGACTACCTCCAAGGGCTGACAAAATCTTTATGGCTTTTCTTCTTTGCTTCCAAGTATTTAAAGTCTCTGCTCTTGTTACAATTTATAGAGCCTTAAGAACATCTATGCTGCTCGTGAATTCGAGAGCCGAAGTGCAAAATAACTGCAGAGTACCAGGATGAAGAAGTCTAACTTAGAATTTCCCAAATAACTGTTGCATTTCCTAATACAGAAATTCAGGTTTCTCAAATGAAAAACTGAGTCAAATTCATTTTATTTTTATTTTGGTATGTGCTAAAATATACACATTTAATGAATGTTTAGCAAACAAGAGCAAATTGTACTAACATATGTGTTTGTTCCCTTTTCCTTCAAGCATTGGATATGAATCACAGCTGAAACAGAGATGTACAAAAGACCCAGTTGCTTTTTTCAAACCCCAAGGAGACTTTGTGACCAGATTTGGAAGTGGAATATTTCAAAATAACTTTTCAAGGAAAATCTTGGGTCTTCCCTGCTGCACATCTAAATGGGGACTTTATTTAATTGCCCTCAGTCTCTGTCAGGGCCCACCTAACATTGCTAAATATTTTAGAGAACTTGCCAGGCTTCTTGTTTAATCTTGTTACTAGCATCACTGGGAAGGAAATCAGGAGGCAAATATGCTATCCCATATTGTACAGATGTATTTATCCTCCCTAGAGGAACTTAAATCCTGTGGAATAGAAAAGATCTCTGATTGATTCTTACACCAGGATGCTAGCTGAGGTTTAAAGCTAGTCACCACTCAAAGTTTTCCCCTTGGTATACTCACTTTAAGTAAAATGGATTCTTCTGTACTATGGCTTTTCAGCCCACTATTAAAGAAGGTATTCACCAGCTTACAATTCCAAACTATGCTATCAGCATATTTCCACAAAATGTCCAGGGAGCAGCATTTTTGTACATGTGGTCAGAAATAGGTAGAGGATATCAAACATGTCCGGTCCTGCCCTTTTATGATGTGACCAGCCATATTACTGACCACTTTATGGACTCTGAAGCAGAATATGTAGGCCTTTTTTTGGCAGATGTATTCCCTTACATTAGTTCTCAAATGCTATTCTTATTTTGTTGTCTTTTAAAATTAGAAAGAAATTTTAGACTTTCTAGGCCTCAGGCCAGGTTGTAGTTGTAGACTTAGCCTTGTATAGCTTTTAGTCACATTAATGTTGTAATTCTAGATAGACCTCCAAATTTGCTTTTATTTAACTTACTTTGCTTTATATACTACTCCAAACCCTGATACTCTAAGTCAGTGTTTCTCAACCTTAGCAAGTTTAAGATGTCTGGACTTTTGGCTGGGGAATTCTGGGAGTTGAAGTCCAGACATCTTAAAGTTGCCAAGGTTGAGGAACACTGCTCTAAGTAGTTTACAACAAACCTAGCACTTAAAACCAGTTATACAATAGCTAATAACACCCGGTCTGATGTGCCACATCTCAGGGATAGGATGGTCTTTACTCATCCTTGAATGCTTTTAACAGCTCTTTGAAAGCTTAGTAAAAGGGGGTTAGTCCAAATATCTGGGGACAGGCTGTTCCAAAGGAGGGAGCAGTTCCTTTATGCTTCATACAGTATATATTATGCTACTGTTCTAAAGTGTGGTTGCAATCAATTTACTGCTACTTTTACTACTACTACTATTACTATTACTGCTGCTATTACTCTATACCTGGTTGCAATGGAGATAATTTTTCAAAAAGTCACAACTACAACACAATATCAAAGTCTAATAGTTCATCAGTTTCTTTTTCTTTCTTTCTTTAGGTAAGTGTATATTTCTAGTGACTGGTAATAAATATTATATTCTACAATACTGTAAATTTCTTCTGGATTCTGTTCATGGTAGTTATTTCATGGTTGGAAACTGACTGAGTTCGAAGGAAAACAGAAACTGGGATTTTAAATCAATTTAAAAGATACAGAAAGAATTTTCCTAAGAATAGTGGCCTTTTATAAAGGACTGGCTTCAGAGTTCAGGGAATGTACCGTTCCCCACACTCTGGGGAAAGTTCTTCCTTATAGAATTAAACCATTTTCACAAACACCATGAATGGTATTCCACAAAGGTGACCTTTACTTCCTGTAGTCCTACTGTCATGTATTGGATTGAACTGATGTAGAAATATTTCTCATGCTAGTTCCTTTTTTATTATTATTACCTTGGTATTTTCTTTCAATTAAGCAGATAAATTAGTTTAAATATATTACATTAATTATATAATGATGGCTTCTTCTGTTCTGTTCTTGTTCCCTTCATCCCCAGCTTCCTCAGGCTCAAAAGGTAAACTATTTTCAGTCAATATTTGACGAAATCACCAACTCCTCACGCTTCCACAGTATCATGAAATTACTTTACAATGATGATCAGTGAAATGCTTTGCAATGTCACCACTGTAATGAACTGGAGAGCATGACATTGTTTAAATTAGAGCAAGACTCTGTATAGGCACATCGCCCACTGAGTTACAATTGAGGCACAATGTGAGAGCAATTTAAACAAAATGGAGACAGGGTGGACTGCTGCTTTGTGCAAATAAAGGATGCATTTTGTTATGGCCTGGTAATAAATGGGCAGCCTTAATCATTACAGTGAAGTCACCCAAAGGTATTTATGCCAGAGAAACAATTGAACCCTTGATACAGCTATATTCTTTCACTGGTCTCCATTGTATTGTCTTAAAAGCCTCTGAGTGCATTTAACATACATTTTGTGCAGAAACGTTTCCGTGCAATGTGCTGGTGTCAGTGTACAGCTTCTGCTTTGATCTGTTCCAGAGCTATCTCACAGCATTTCATGATCTCACAAATAATAATGGCGGCTGGTACAACATATTACTTGATGCCCATTGCAACTTCATGTATAATTCACAAATGTAATTAAGATAAAAGTATAGCAACAATTGCCTCAAAGTGGAATGCCATTATATAATTAGGGACACCATCCAAGGATCTCCTATAATGTGGTAATATAGTAATCTCTATTTTTAAGCTTATTCTTGAAAGATCGGATTTCAGTTGTTGAGTCTGAAGTCCTTTCGGTCTGTGTTCCTAGCTTGATTTTTTTTCTCATTATTTTTGAACTGCAGCCCCCCAACCCCACCCATTCTTCTCTCCTGATCTGTGCAATCTGTTTTCCATGAATATGGACTTTAAAACATGCACACTATCTGCATGAATAGGTTTAGCAATAACATTTTCTGTGCTTAACCTAGACAGAAGTAAGAAGCAGCATGGATTTTGTCTGAATATTACTATTTCTTAAAGCATCTGCAGGTGGGGAGGATTTTTAATTTGATGGGAATAGTAGTGTTTAATATTTTCTTTACTGGCTATTTTTATTATCAAATGGTTTCTGACTACTCCTTGTAGGAAGAAGAAAAAAAGGTCCTCTCTATTTCTATTTCTTTTACAGAGGAAATATCAATGGCTGAGGAAATTTTAATGAAAAAAAACCACCCTGTTATAGAGAATTATTCAGCATCTTATCCTTTTTTTAAAAAAATATTACACAACCTTTTTATAAATTGTAATCACCTTTTTAAGTAGCCTCATTCACAGTGATTTGCTATGAAACTGAATAGTGGCAAAGCAAAAGTGTGCTTTGGTTTACTAAATATTCTCTTTCATGTTGCAAGCAAGATATCTTTCATGATCCAATAGCTGTAGTGGTGGAGTAGTAAAGAAGGAGGTTGTGCCTTGAAAGGATAATGTTCTTAAAGTTCTTCTGGTATTAAATCTTAATGCCCATGATAGAAAATGTTGTCCGTTGTACTATTTGCGCAAGCCTTTCCTAGTTTTTAAGGATGGTATCGCAGGTCCTGGAGTTCTGGTTTAGAATTCTAAAAGCCAAGGGATACAGCCATTTCCTACATGACTCCCTCAGGTCCGGTCCTTTAAAGAACCAGGTGAAGGTCAGGATCAGCACTGGAAAATCTGAAATAGGTTTTAAGCATATAGGTGATCCCTTTTTCAAAATATTAGGAAAATATAACCATGCCTTCCTTTTGGTGTTAGGGAAATTATCTCTGAATCACTGGATGCAATTTGCAGGCAAGGTTGTTCTCAGGTTTGGTAAGAGAAAATAAAGGGCAGCATGAAAAAAATGAAATGAATTACATATTTGTCAGTGTTGAAGAAATGTTTCCACACTTGTCCTTTTTGACTCTGAGCAGCAGCACAGGCTCCCTTGCAATATTACAAAATGTTAAGGGATTCCAAGGCTTAATACATTTTCCTCATCAGTCAGGTTTCTTTTCATGGACCTGCTACAGTCTCTGTGTTCTCAAAAAATTTTCCTCAGTATTTTCCATACTAATGTTTTGCTTTTGCAGCACTCGTTAATTTTCAGCACATCCTTTGGGCATAAAATGTAATATTGATTCTAATCATTCCTAGGCTAACCTCCACTTTTCCCTGTGCTAAGTTCAGGAGTAGACAATTTGTGACCCTCCAGATATTAATGAATTTCAGTTCCCCACACCTCTCATCAAGGCCAGTGGTGAGGGATGCTGGGAGATTTCACTGAAGTATATCTGAAGAGTCAGAGGCTTCATTCTCTGCCTTAACTAAACAAACAATATGATTTTTAGTATTAATGTATGTGCATTTTTCAAAGCACTATTTCCTTCTGTGCATTAGCAGAAATATATTTGTTAATTAACTTCCATGCATACTACTTAGAACTATGACTAAGTTCCAGGGCTTTTACTGCCTCAAAAATGTCGATGCTGATATATCCCTGATAGTGAAGTAGGGCCATTTAATGCAGGATTCCTACAAATATTCTTTGCACAGTATAAGAAGCTGTCAGAACAAAGCAAATACTGTGCAAATGAAATGCCCATTCACTGTGTGCCAAGTTAACAGCTTCTATGGCTCATGGAGTTACAAGACAGTCCTCAGAAAGAAATATTTTATTGAGCTACTTATCACCATCAGATCTATTATCAAGGAAAAGTAACTGTTGGATAGCTGAAATGAACATGACCTGAAACCCTGAGTGGAAATGTTTTGTTGCATAAGTCATTTTCTTCATTTTTAATCCTACAAATGTAATGTTCAGATTTTTGCCCTACCAAGTGGACCTTGATGAGAAGCTTCCAAATCCATTTGGCATTTGTTTGTTTGAGGAAGACCACTGCGGGGACTGATCTTGTCTTTATGAATGACTGAGTCAACACTAGTGTACATTTTCCCATATGGTGGCTGAACATGTGCTGTATTTTGTTGGAATCTGTATAGCATCTACATTTTTTTTCCTGTAAACATTTTAAATGGTCACATCTCTATAAACATGTTCACTTAAACTTCAGATGAATCTAGAATACCACTGCCATACTGGTTTACTTTCCCAATTTTCTTTCTGTGAGAAAAGTCATCTCTTAAGGATTGTGTGTGGAAGTGGCATAGTGATTCTCTTTGCATATAAATAGACATTTTTGCAACAAGCAACAGATATTCTCTTTCTATTACTATTAGCCATAGACATTGAAATTGTCAGGTTTACAATTAAAGACAACACTGTTTTAAATAACTTATATTTTCTAATCCGGGCCTAATTATTATATATTCATTCTGAAGAAGAATATATTTAAATTTGCCATTTTAAACTGTCCTTGTGGTTGCATACATATCACAAACATAAAATACATTGCAATGATGAAACATTAGTACTTGTCAGAGAAAAACAAGACAAATTAGCAGGATTGTATGATAAAATCAAATACGAAACTTGCAGCAAGGATAATTGTAAAGGTATGAAAATACTAAAAACTAGTGGTGTGCAAATCAGCCAGGATCTGATTTGAATTAGCGATTTGATTCAAAGGGTTGATTCAATTTGAAGAGCCAAGTCAATTTGATTTGAATTAATGATAAGAAAAAGTATGTGTGTACATGTGCAAAAGTCCATTAAATCTTCAAATTGATTCCAAGCCACCTGATTTGATTTAATGCATCAAACTGATTCAGCTATTTGATCTAAAGATTTGATTCAAAGCAGCAATTCAGTCTCTTTGCATTTGAATAGAGTTTTTCACAGTCCTATTAAAATGTTTCCTAAAATTCTTTTTTTTTTTTTTTGGTGGCACTCAGTTTGTATCCTATCTTCCTCAAACTTGTTCATGGGTACCCACTCTACGATCTTTTATGCATCAGATGAACATATCTGGGGACAATCTACTGCAGATTGTGAATCATAATTGAAAAGATCAGCATTTCTGTGGCCGCCCCTTCATTTTGTTTGTTTGTTTGTTGCAAGGCCACCTGGAGATTAAAGGCCATCTTGAGTTTAAAATCCAGGCTGGCAAATATGGGAGGAGACATTACTTCACGTAACATGCCTCCAAGTCATTTGTGGCTGTGTAAGTTAAAATCTGCATTTTAAATAAAATCCACTTGGAAACAGACAAACTGCTAATGCAGATGACAAAAAATCACCATAACGTGATTGAAACAACCATCTAGTAACCATGTTGTGGACTCTCAGAATTTTTAAAGGCAGATTAACATATACGCAGAAATGGCAGTAACCCAGATGGGAAGTTTTCAGAACATATATTGTTAAATAGTTGCCTGTGTTTGGAGACACTCATTGTGTTTCTAAAACAATCTTTCACTGTTCCTTTTGTAACAGAACTAGATCCAAAAGCATCCTTAGCTACATATCTGAAAGTTTATAGGAAGTTCACCACTTCAGAACAATAAACAGCACTTAGAAGGAGAGCTGCACCACCTACAATCAATTATTTCCATCTTGTTTTGATTAAGTTGCTTTCAAGAGTCTAGAACTATCTTCCTTCCATACATCTGTTTCCTCCTGATTCAGACATAGTTTCCCATTGGTAATAAACCAAGGAAGAATAAGCCAGACTTGCTGGGTTGTAAGGTAACTTTATGATTCAATTTTGTATGCTAGTCAACAGAACATCTAAAGAACTTCCATAATATGCCAGATTTATCAGTATTTATCAAATTTATTTTCACTTCGGATATCTTTATGTTATGTCAATCACTTGATATGGATTGCCAATCTCTCAGTGGCTTTTTTTTTTTTTACACGTGACATAAATATCCTGGTATCATTTAAACATAATTAAACAAATAGCAGTACAATTTTAACTATTGAAAATTATAGCTATTAGAGAGAGACCACTCACAACATTTTCATGAACTTGGGGCAGACTTCCAATTTAGAATTATCTGTTGTTTAATGTGTGGTTCTATGTGATATTTTGAAAATTATAATTTATGCATAGTTGATAAAAGATATAAACAGTTACA